GAATCTGCTTCTCCAGATCAGATTCCAAATGAGATGATTTGTCATGTTTATATGAAAGTGGGTTATTGCTTTTTCTCCATGCAATATTAAATAGATGAGATATTGTTGTGAATTAATTTCAGCCAAACCAGTGATTTTGTTTGTATTCACATCTATGTGTTTGTGTGTGTATATATAGTATTATCATGCATATGTGCATTATAGTGTACATAAGGGAAAAGTAATAAAGTGATTAGCTCCCTGCACACCCGGTAACCCGAGTTTAAATCCTTGCAACAGTTAACATGACCAGAAAATTATTTAAAATCAGTGGTACCGAACCCGACTTAAACCAGCCTGGACTAACTAGTGCGGCGAAGTATGGTCAATAAACACACGTGACCAACACGACATGGCGATGCCTTCAGCCAGCAGTGGATTGACTAATGGGTGTAAATAATTATGTAATAATAATTAGTATCTTTATACATACCCATAAGTAACATACAAAGATACACAGGGACAATTCCCTCAGAGTGTTGAGGCAAGTGCTGTTCATTTGCACACGAGCAGTGGTGTGGCCAGACCCATGCAGAGCCACCTTTGTCTCTCCAGTGCTGATGCTCGCACACTGCATCAGGCAATCATTTCAGGTTGAGTTGATCTCGTATACACCCGGGACAGGTTCAGATACCACCTGCCACTCGTGTTCTACATGGCCAGGAATTCAACTTGCCTCTCTAAGCGAAGTCATATCGATATATTATTGAATCTGTCTGCGTGGGGCTTGATGAGTTAACCTTGCTACCAAGTGGCTTTTCACTAGGTATTAAAATTTCCTCCCATACGCCAAAAACTCAAATTGCCGGCATTGGCCACCACATCCCAATGCAGGGCCCTCCTGATCTAAGAGTCCTGAGAGCCTCGGTGAGTTTTCATCTCTCGCCGCCGTTATTAATTCTGCACGTCAGTATGCGCAGTGCGGCATTATACGTCGGAAAGCGCTTTTCACAAACCGCGCAGACGCAAGACAAACATTAATACTTGAAAGATCATTGCCTCCGTGTCGGGCTCTGCACATTTAAATAAACAACAGCGTAAAGAAGTCGTCGAGCCACGAATTGCCATCCGCCGCGATTGCGTGCGCTCAATCTCCCGTCCTCTGGCGAGGAATTAGCGCGGTCCCATCGCGACTGACCCACTTTCCTCGGGGGTCACGAGTTCAAGTCTGGCTACTTACGGGGGCCCACACCCTTCCTCTGCCACAGGCAAGCTCTCCCGCAGGGTGGAGAGGGGGGGGGAGCAGGAAAAGAAGCAGAAGCAAAGTGGGAGACTGAGACGAATCTCTCAGGGTGCCTAAGTGCACTTGCATTGTCATCACGTGTGCCCCGGTGTCCTTTTGTGTTGGGTATCTGACGATTGCGTGCGCGCGCGCGTGTGTGCGGTCAAGGGAAAGTCGTAGGGAGCGGTGATGCTGCGGTTAGCGCGCCGAGCTATGAATCCGGTGACCCGAGTTTGATTCCCAATCACGGCCACCACCAACACCAGTGACGATTATCTGAACCGGTCCTAGGCCCTCCAGTAGGTTGCCTTAGCCTCAAATGAGTTCCTGGTGCGGTGTGTAAACATCAGCACTGGGAAGACAAATGCGGCCGGGCATGGTGCTTGCCCACCCTCCTCATGTGCCGTGCCGGCCTTCATAGGTGCTCGCTAACAGCACTTGCCCCAGCAGTCTCTTAAGGCTACATGGGGGATATTTTTATTTGGTAGAGGCAAAGGGATGGGTTTCCTTTGTACATTATTCATGTTGCTCAGATGCCTCTCATGTGTAAGGAATAAAGGAAATGAGGATGAAATGATAAGGCTGGGAAAATTACAGCATCTCTTGGTTAACCTACGTGTCCGCATAGGTTTGCAAAAATGTAAATAGAACCTGACTACAATGATTGCTCGGTGGAGGGAGTCGGTGGGTTTTTTTATTTGCTTAATGGTATGATTAATTTCTGTATTACCATTTAGGCTCGCTCATTGGACACTTTGATATTTACGAACCGCTGAGATGTTAATATTTTAACAAAAGGGCGAGTGTGGAGACGGGAAGGATTAGCAGGCAGTGCCTTTGAAACGAGGAACTCGCATTGGCCTTTGGGATTATCCTCCAGACGCGGTCCACTTTGCACGTTTTGCGAGCAATCGCCCGGCCTTCCACCTTCCGTGCCTGCATCCCGAGTCTTGGATCCGCATTTCCCCCCCCCCTCCCCCCGTCCCCCGTAAAGTGTCTTGAGAAGCACTGAGAGCCTCCTAGACTCTGCACGTTAACGCTGCTGCTGCTGCTGCTGTTCCTGCCATTGCCGAGTGATTCGCCTCTCGTGCGGCTCACGGGGCCCAGGGACAATGTCGGGTCCCGCCCTGCGGAGGCGTCCGTCGTTACGCCGCCCTGCAGCTCTCCGATGCGCATCCCGCGTTGCACCGCGTGGGGCCGTCCATAAATGACGTCACGCACCTGGGTGGGGGACGGGGTCAGACATTTGTGACGATGTGTGACGATGGGAGGGTGGTGGGGGGGGGGCGGTTGAGAAATGTGACGTCACGTCAAAATGCGTAGCTTGAATTAAATACAGACAACACGTTCTACTTAATTAAATAGACGTTTTAATAAATGTTTTCTCCTTCAACATCAGAGTGCAGCGGCACATTAAATACGCACTACAATGACAATAGTTTAAAGCGATTTGAAGCATGTTTTATATGTTTTTTTGGGGGGGGGGCAGAGCTTTGTGACGTCATATTTGAGGGGGGGGGTCTGACTTTTTGTGACGCCGTGTGACGAGGGGGGGGGTCAAAAATCGTCCAAAATCGCGTGACGTCATTTATGGACGGGGCCCCCGTGTCGCTCGGCACGCTCTCTATCCGACCCGAATTCAGTTCCCACGAAAGCTCTCCCAAGCGCGTGGAGTGTGGAGTGGAACGTCGGACATCACACTCTGATCACCACCTGGTTCAACCCCAAACAAAAACACGCACATTGGAGAACCTCCCTTGCAACACGGACACAGAACCAAATCGCACTGTGGGGGGAAGGACAACAGACTAAACAGTTCTAAATAAATTAGTTTTGAATCCAGATGTCAAAGTGCACAGCTCCAGTGACATCCTAATATCGTTAGGAAGAGCGTTCCAGACGGCCATTCGAGCTTAGCGGTCACCTCCAGGGGGGGAAGGAGGCAGTGGTGAATCTCGCGAGATCCTCGCGTCCTTGAGGCGTTTCACAAAGAGTTATTTTTTTTTAGGCGGTTCCTTTCAGAAGTAGAAATAGACGCGAAAAGACAAAGGCTCGAATTAACTTAGGCTTACGGGATTAAGGATATCAAGTAGAAACTGGATCACCAGGTGAACCATAATCCGCCGGCTCATTTTCGTCCCGCGCATTCTTCAAAGGGCCCACTATGGTCAATTTCAATTACATATCTTGCTTTGCCACGTATTTATATTGATAATGATGCAAGCAATTAACGGACCCGCTCCCACGCAGCGGTGGAAATGAGCGAAGGCCAAGAGGAGGGGGGGGGGGGAGGCGGCGTGACTTTGAAGGAGGCGAGGACACGCCGGAGGTGTGAAGGGCGCATGTCACAGAGCGAACGCAACACACAGACAAAGCGCCACCGTAGAGCCCTAACAGACTGTCGCGGGGCAAGTGCTGTTAGCGAACGCCTATGAAGGCCGGCACGGCACGGGAAGGGGGTGGGTGGCCAGCACCACGCCCGGCCGCTTTCGTCTCCCTAGCGGTGAAGTCTTGCACGCCGCACCAGGTATTCATATGAGGCCGAGTCGACCTGGGGGAGGCCCAAGGACCGGTTCAGATATTTCGTCACGGGTGTTGGCCGTGAGCGGGAATGGAATTGGGGGGGACCGCGTTCGTAGTGCGGCGCGCTAATCGCTGCGCCACCGCTCCCCACGCACATTGATGGGCCACTGCACACGAAGCCGAACGTCTCGCACCTAACGCGTAAATAAGCAAGCGGGGTGTCGCACGCGCTAGGTGTTCGTTTCTGATTTTAAAATTTCATGTTTTGGGGTTTTAAGGGCAATTTGTATTGTACAATTTCCTTATGATATGTTTTTAGTTCAGTTATTTGGTGTACGAATGGATAATAATAATAAAATATCCCGTGTGCGACTATGGTTACCCATAACAGCCCGTGGAACAAATAACGACTCGATGCCCTGATTTATGAATAAGAAAGAGGAATCACCGCAGCGATAACACTCCGGCTACTACTGACCCAATCGTCTGGCTCAACCACCCCAAATTTAAGCTCTCCATCAGCATCAGGCGTACAAAGAAGTAAAAATGCCTTCAGGCTGACAATAGTGACATCACCCGATACCACGTGACACAGCCTTGGGTGGGAAAAGTGGCACGTGAGTTCATGGACAATCTTTGTCTTCGCGTGCAATCGGTCCGTGTTTGTGTTCGCGCGTGCAGTGGCACAGTGTTTAGCACGTCCGGCAACAAAGCCGACGACTCGAGTTAAATTCCCTGCTCACGACCAACACCAGTGATGGATATTTAAACCGATCCTGGGCCTCCCCTGGGTAGGCAAATGAGTACCTGGTGGAGTGTGTAAACATCAGCATTGGGGAGACAAAGGCGGCCGGGCGTGATGCTGGCCACCCACTGCCTCGTGTGCCATGCCAGCCTTCGTAGGCGATCGCTAAGAACACTTGCCCCAACAGTCTGTTGAAGGCTATCCGGGGGATCTTTATATGTCAGGATCAGAATCTTTATTAAGACTGCAGGAGGAATCCGATGAGCCAGGAAGCTCTTGTTGACAGATGTCCAGTATGGTCGGGTCAGCAAGTTACAACGGCAAAGAATACACAAAACGGTAGGACTGCAACATCGAGAAAATGCTAAGCCAGTAACTAAATATGAATAAATAATACATCATTTAATTATACAAGTCCTAAAATTATCAACATTCTGTGTGTGTGCGCGTGCGTGTGGTCGTGGCCGTCAGAACTCGGAGAAGCTGGAGCGGCAGCGCAGCTGTCTGCGCGACGAGATCAAGCAGTACAAGGTGCGCGAGTCCCGCCTGCTGCAGGACTATGGGGAGCTGGAGGAGGAGAACATCTCGCTGCAGAAGCAGGCCTCCACACTGCGCCAGAACCAGGTGAGCCCCCGCAACTCGGCGCATCTCTCCTGCCTCCTGCCGGTGGCGTGGTGGCGTGGTGGAGTGGTGGCGTGGTGGCGTGGTGACGTGGTGGAGTGGTGGCGTGGTGGAGTGGTGACGTGGTGGAGTGGTGGCGTGGTGGAGTGGTGGCGTGGTGGAGTGGTGACGTGGTGGAGTGGTGGCGTGAAGTGGTGACGTAGAGTGGGGGAGTGGTGGCGTGGTGGAGTGGTGGCGTGGTGGAGTGGTGGCGTGGTGGAGTGGTGGCGTGGTGGAGTGGTGACGTAGAGTGGTGGCGTGGTGGAGTGGTGGCGTGGTGGCGTGGTGACGTGGTGAAGTTGTGACGTGGTGGAGGGGTTGGCGTGGTGGGGTGGTGACGTGGTGAAGTGGTGACGTGGAGTGGTGGCGTGGTGGAGTGGTGGCGTGGTGGAGTGGTGGCGTGGTGGAGTGGTGGCGTGGTGACGTGGTGATGTGGAGTGGTGGCGTGGTGGAGTGGTGGCGTAGTGGAGTGGTGGCGTGGTAGAGTGGTGGCGTGTTGGAGTGGTGGCCTGGTGGAGTGGGGGAGTGGTGATGGGGTGGAGTGGTAGCGTGGTGGAGTAGTGTAGTGGTGGCGGGGTGGAGTGGTGGAATGGTGGCGTGGTGGAGTGGTCAAGTGGTGGTCTGGTGGTGGGGTGGAGTGGTGGCTTGGTGGCCTGGTGGCATGGTTGGCATCGGTCCCCGAGTTTGCCGCTGCTGAGTTCTTGGGTTTGTTTGATTTTGGAGCATAGTCAATTGATAGGTTCAGCCATGTCCAGATGCGGATCGAGAAATTTCCTCAGGGAAGTGCGGTCCCACAGGAAGTATATAAATAAATCGACATGTTTTGTCTGCTAAATGTCAATAAAATAACAATTTATTTGGGCCTCAAGGGGCAGTGTTATTTTATTCTCTTAGCGTGGATAAATTTCATCTCAAAAAATTAAAAAGTATGACTGTAATACTCTGCAGCAGGGCAGATGGGAAATTACTTCCCACTTCCTTGTGGACTCGAGGGGGGCACTCGAAGGGATCTCAGAGGTAACTCTGTGATATCCACTTTAGCGGACTGTTCCATAACACGAGGAGGCGGACGCTTACTACGTTTTGAGAGAGTTCTGAAAGTATCCTTCATCTCATGTGACGCCAATAGCATTATCCGTAAAATTTTGGTTCATGTCACCAAAGTGTGTAATAAATGTTAGGCTCTTCTTCTTTGGTTCTTTCGGTAAAGTCACGTAGAATGAGAATAAAATAATAAAATAAAAATAAGACAAATAAATTATCACGACGTTTCGGCCACAACACAAGCGGCCTTCTTCAGGTGAAAGAACAGAACTGTCGGGACGACAGTGCTTCAACCAAAGAAGATGATTCCCTGCAGTCACGAAAGCTTTAAATCGAAATGTTAGGCTCTGTAAAGCAGAAGTCGGACGTATTTAGAAAATTTCAGAACTCATCACAGATATCTTATAGTATCCACAGCCATTTCCCAGGACACCTCCCTGTTGACGCCTACCACAGCTTGGGGGCGTATCTACAAGACAAGAGCCACTTGAATTTTGAGTCACATCTTCAGTCATTGAGCAGGCGGGGGGGGCACGCCCGCTGGTGGTGATCATCAGCAAGCAGCTGGCTCAACGGAGCGGCCACATGGCCACCGAACCTCCGATTTGCACGGTTGGCTATGTGCGGTGCGAAAGAAGTTCAACATATATACATACACGGTCAGGGTGACACTCCGCCTTCCCGTTCAAGATTTCCCGAAGGCGTCCGTTGCCCCCCACCCGCCAACCGCTGGCTCGCGAGACGCGGAGAGGGAATTGGGCAAATCAATCAAGAGACCACACCAGCCGAAGTGACCGAGATAAGACTTAACGAGTTATTGAGCCAGCGGCCACAGGGCTCGCCGGCGGCTTATGGGAACTCGTGAATTCACGCGCGTCGGAAAGGGAGGGAAGAGCGTCAAGTTTCCACCACGGTAATGTTTTGCCGCCGCTGTCCACATCTCCGGGAACGCGTCAGACCGCGGGAAGCTATGCCGGGTTAAGGCTGCACGGTGCTTGGGTGGGCGTCCACCGAGCACACAACGGGCGTAGGCTTGCAGGTTCACGGAGAGGCAGTGCGGCAAAATCCATTGCTCATACTGACATATGCTCTTGTATCTATGGCTCCCCTGCCTTCGCCAACCTTCACTTACCAGCTTGGTGAAATATGGTCAAATAACCTGCACGACTCAGGGGGTCCTCATCCAGCAGAAGGATTTATAAAGGGCCGTTCAATGCAATAAATATTTTACAATTTGGTTTACAAGTTGGACATGTAACTAGCAATTTATTGGGTCAGTGAATTCGATTATCACAGTCGCGTGACAGAAAGCATTAAGTGTGTCACGTCACGTGTATCCCAGTTGGCTTTAGATGCATTGCACCTGAACATGTAGGCCACGTTAACCATGAGAAACTACCGGAGTATAAATGCTTGGAAAAAAAAACATTTCCCTTCTGTAGCTAGGATTTCCCACACCAGCCCTGTGAAGTCAGAGGGGGCTCCATTCGTGTGTTGGCGAATGATGGTGATGAGATATTCATCTGCAGCATCTTCAAGCGGAAGCGCCGCACTGCTTGTCCATGCGGAGATGCGAACCTCGGCAGAGTGAAAACCGCGTGTCGCCGAAACCTCACCGCCGTGTGACGGGAAAAACGTACCTCGTTCAGTGAACCGTGTATATCCGAAACACGCGTTCGATAAAACGGCCTTGGGCAAGCTTATGACCTTAAATGTTTTTTTAGTTTATATTCTCCTGTGGACCTTTCTGTAGATTTGGGCCCTGGTCCAACGTCCCGTGTAGATCTCCGACGTTGTTTTAAGGCTGTGACGTCCGTCATTTTTGCTCCATGTGCTGGAAGCTTCTTCCCGGTACGTGGACCGAAACGTCGGACATCGTGCCGAACGACACGCAGAGCAACCTGAAAAAAACACATCGGGGAGCCACACAGCACAGTCACTAAAACCAGCGTAGGAGTAAATATCCCGGGGCGCTGGTGGCGCACGCCTTAAATACAGCATCTTTGGGGGGCGAGGGTTGGTAGATCACACGGTTCCACGAATCTCCTTACCCATTGGTGTCGAGGTCGCCATCTTCTGGCTTTCCAGAGTATGGCAGTACAGCAAGTGGGTTAATTCCAGCTATATGGGCATTGTCGCCCCCCCACCCTCCTCCAGAGGTTTTTTTTCTCTCTGGGTACTCCAGTTTGCTTCCACCCATGAGTGAAGTTGGTTCAACATCCCAATGTAGCACCACAGAGCTTGGGTCATTGTTGGCGGTGGTTTTTGGCTGCCTTGCGTCTTCTTGTCCGTGGTTTCCCGCTGCCTCCGTATCGATCTCTCCGTCTTCGAGAGCGAGCGAAGCGCCGGGCACATTGAAAATTCTCCCCCCCCCCCCCACGGTGGCGCCGCGGTGGCTAGGAGCTGTTAACTACCTCGCCTGGTATACAGGAGGTCGTGGGTTCGATCCCGACCCTGGCGCCTGTATATTTGGAGTTTGCGTGTCACTTTCTTCACCGTGGTCGCGTGGATTTCTCTCCTCGTCCTCCGGTTTTTTCCCTCCGCATTGAGAATCGACATCGTGCGTTCAGAGTATTGGGCTGCTGCTACAAAATCCGCACGTGATGAAAAGCCACTTCCGTTGAGCCACACAGCTCAAGTGGGCCTTAGCCGGTAAAATAAACAAAAAATAGCGAATCGTATTTTAATAGTGATCGCCGGCGCGCACTCCGCGCCGTCGCAGGTGGAGTTCGAGGGGCTCAAGCACGAGATCCGGCGCCTGGAGGAGGAGACGGAGTTCCTCAACAGCCAGCTGGAGGAGTCCGTGCGGCTCAAGGCGATCTCTGAGCGGCAGCTGGAGGAGGCGCTCGAGACGCTCAAGTCGGAGCGCGAGCAGAAGAACGCGCTGAGACGCGAGCTCGGAAACTACGGCTCCGTGACCGGAGGCGGCGGCGCTGGGGAGGTCATCCAGGGCCTCTTCTCCAATGGTCACCACCAGCAGCAGCAGCAACAGCAGCAGCAGCCCTTAGGGTGAGCGACGGTTCACTTGGGCAGACTTTTGTAAGTTCTACTCCTTCGTAGGTGTTCTTACGGCTCTCCAATGTGTTTCTGCGGTTGTTTTACGATTTGTTGTTCAGTATGATGCCTGCCCACCGTTTGCTCCGTGGGTTGGAAGCTTCTTCAGTTTTGGAGCTTCGGTTCCTGGAGGCAGAAACGTTGGACATCATTGTCGAACGTCGACACGCGGCAGCAATCCGGAAACACGTCGGAGAGTTGTTCACGTATCCTGCTCGTATGGGAGATTCTCACGGCAGGATTATTATTGGTGTTAATACTGTTTACCCAGGAGATCCTCACTGAGTCTCAGGATTCGTTTGCAAGGGGGTCCTGCCAAGTTATCACAGCAGGGGACGATGATTGCTGTATTCAAAATACAATCGAAAAATATTTCGAGTAATTTTTCAAATTTGGCAATCTGGATCCTGACGCCGGCACCGACTGATCTACCTACGCTCGCGAGTGACATCGCATGATCTTTAACGTCCGCTATTAATAATCGGGGTGATCTGCTGAATTTGAACCGAGAGCCTCTGCAACAATCGGCGAGCGTGCTGCCGCCAAAGTCGCATCATCACACGGATCGAGGTTCTGAGCGAGTTGTGGCAATTCCACGTTTCCATGGCGCAGGCCAGTTTATCCAAATCATAGCTGTTGTTTTTTTTCTGCCAGGTTGGGTCTGACCGTCTGGTGTGGATGGTGAAGTGTTTGGCTCTCTATGTGAAGATTTGTAGGTCTAAGGATCTCTATGTCAGTTTTCAGTCTCTTCACAATTGTCTAACAATAACAGCGATTTATAGCACCTTTGTCGATCCACCGCTGGACCTTTAAGTTTCTTAAATCCTCGTGCCTCTGTCCACCCAGCAGTACAAACGGTGACACTGCAGTGAGTCGATCAGCTGACCGCGTGTGTTGGGGAAAACTCTTGGGTACCCCCATCTCTTCCAAGACATCTGGCCGTGTGGAAGAGCAGGCCAAAGACCCCGTTTAGATGGGCTAACGCTCCCTCTCGTGGAGGCTCTTCCACTAGCGGTGGCGTGCGCGTGCGGCGGCAAGGTCCGTGCCGTCTGCCGGGCGGTAACTCGTATGGCCAACTGAAATGGCAACCGACAGTCGCCTGCCAGGCGAAGGCAGCAAACCGGACGTCGCTGTTCATTTCATCGGCTCGCATTGCTGCCTCGTTTCTCCTCCTCCGTTGTTGCCGCCGTCGTCCCAACGCCAGGATGTCGGCGCTGGAGCTGAGCTCGGCGCTGGTTGGTGGCCCGTCGCTGGCGGAGGAGGACGCGCCGAACGGCGAGGGCCCCTCCCTCAACGGCCACGGCCGCAGCAACGGCCACGCCGAGGGCACCGGCGCCCCTGGCGATCAGCGCTCCGCGCCGGCGCCCAGCCTCGTGTCGGACCTGCTGAGCGAGCTGAGCTTCAGCGAGATGAAGAAACTGCAGCAGCAGCTGTCACAGGTGGGCAACTCCGCCGCCACGGCAAGTCAAAGCGAGATCATTTGGTTAGAATCCACGAGGCTTTCGGATGCCCCGAGATTACACCGGTTGTCAAGTGTAGCAAATAAAAATTTTATTTGCCACTTCATTTAGCTCTTTCCAGCTCTGGGGACAAATATATAATTATTTTGTTAATAAGTAGCTGGAAAGCACAGAAGTCACGGAGCTGAGCTGGTACCGCACAGAGATCCTGGGTTTAGAATCAATGCGTCGGATAAATTTAGTTTTTAAATTACTTTGGCTTACTCCAGCTCGGCAGGGCATGCCCTGAGATCCAGATCCCCGTTTAAGCCGCATTTCCATCTAGTTCCGTAACATCGTCTTACGAGGCCCATCCTTTGGCAGCAGGGTGGTGCGCCGCTAGCTGCGAGAGATTTTTTTAAGCCGATGAACGTGACACGACGTCGATGTCAAACAACTGGTTCCACAGTCGAGGGACGACAACAAACAAAAACAAAACATTTATTTAACGGGTGGGGGGGTCAGGGGCTGGGAGCCGGGGCGGGGGGGGGGGGGCAAAACATCAACGACCTTGCCCGCGTATCGTTCGGTGGGGTGACGTTCTACCCGCGCGTCCCCTCCGCAGATGGAGAAGGAGAAGGCCTCGCTGCTGCTCAACCTGCAGGAGTCGGAGAAGCAGCTGGAGCAGACGAGGGGCGTGCTCTCGGAGCAGCACGAGCGCGTGAGCAAGCTCGCGGAGCACGTGCAGTCGCTGAGCGGCCCCGGCGCCGCCGCCGACGGCCGGCAGACGGACGCGGCCGACGCGACGTCGCACGAGTTCGGCGCCCTCGTCGCCGACCTGGCCCGGCTGCAGGAGGACCTGAAGAGCTCGCGGGCGCTCGGCGAGGAGTACAGGGAGCTCTTCGACAAGGAGCGGACGAGGCACGAGCGCGAGCTGGTCGCCGTCGGCGAGAAGCTGCGCTCCCTCGAGCGGGAGAACCGGAGCCAGCGCGAGCGCAAGCTGGGCCTCGAGAAGGAGGTGCAGAGCCTGGCGGCGGCGGCGGCCGAGAGCCAGGGCAGCCTGAGCGTGGCGCAGGAAGAGCTGGTGACGTTCACCGAGGAACTGGCCGGCCTCTACCACCACGTGTGCCTGTGCAACAACGAGACGCCCAGCCGCGTCATGCTCGACTTCTACAAGGACCCGAGGAGCCGGCGCTCGCCGACGCCGGCGGCCAAGGACGCGGAACAGCCGGGCGGCGGCGGCGGCGGCGGCGGCGCTCCGCTCCGGCGCGGCGAAAAGGGCGCCGTCGTGGCGACGGACCGCCCTGCGGCGGCGCCGTCGCCGACCGCCGAGCTGCGCCGGGAGCCGATGAGCGTGCACAGCCTGGTGTCGGTGATCCGCGACCAGGTGCACCACCTGCAGCGCGCCGTCGAGCGCTCCGCGGCGCTGTCGCGGCAGCGGGCGCAGGCGGCGCACGACGCCGCGCCGCCGTCCGGCGACCGCGAGGCGCTCATGGAGGAGATCCTGAAGCTCAAGTCGCTCCTGAGCACCAAGCGCGAACAGATCGCCACGCTGCGCACCGTGCTCAAGGCCAACAAGCAGGTGCGCGCTCGCCGCTCGCCTCCCCCACCCACCCGCGGTCGTCCGCACCGGCGCTCGGGCCTCTCCTGAGGTCGAATCGATCCCAAAGAGCGCCTGGCGCAACGTGCAAAGCATCGCCACCGTGCGCCGTGTCGGCCTTCGCGAGGTGCTCCGAGCCGTTTCCCGCTCCCCGCTTCCGACCCACCTGCTCCCTCTGCCCCGAATGACCCTGGTGTCGTCCCCCCCCCACCACAGACGGCCGAGGTGGCGCTGGCGAACCTGAAGAGCAAGTACGAGAACGAGAAGTCCATGGTGGCCGAGACGATGATGAAGCTGCGCAACGAGCTGAAGGCTCTGAAGGAGGACGCGGCGACGTTCTCCTCGCTGAGATCCATGTTCGCCACGCGGTCCGTCCCACCACGCGCCCCGTGGCAGTAATCCCCTAGATTGGTTCGTTTTAGTGGAAGAAAGAAAACTCGCGGAGATCCATGGTACGGAAGGCTAATTTTAACAAACGAGCGAACTGATGCCGCCCTAACGCAGCCTCTTCCTTCCGGAGCGGCCTGGTAAACCGGCGCTCTCGCCCTCGCGACGGGTTCAGTCTGCCGCTTCGCGGGGGGGGGGGAGGGGTCTCCGCTTTCGCCACGTTTGTGCCGGCCCCCCCCCCCCTCCCGGATCAGTCGCCCGTCATGGCCTGCTCGACCTCGTCTCTCACGCTCACCCTTTTGCTCCTCCGCCCCTTGGTCTCTCGCCCTGGCACGTCCGCAGGCAGAACGCTCCGCGCCTCGCCCTCGGTGTCTGTCCGCTAGGGCGCGTGCCCCCACCACCTCGGCCGCGCTTCTCTCGTCTCGTCATTCATTGCTTCCAACTTCGTCGTCTCTCGAATATTCTTATTTCTAATTTTCCTTGCTATTGCTTTTCCTAAGGCTCACCTTAATATTCTCATTTCCGCTGCGGGTAACGTCCGTCTTTGCGGTGCCCTTGCGTTCAGCACCGTACATCATGGCTGGTCTAAATCACGCTTGTAAATCGTACTCTTCAATCTCACAGGCGTCCGCTTACAACGGAGAATTCCTGTCTGTTTTCCCACACGCTCCATTGTGAGATTGGCATTCGTCACGTGCCAGTCAAACCCATGTTAGTAGCCAAATGCAATGAAAATTAACATTTAAATGTGGGCTTGTTGTGCAGTCAGTGGTCAGCCAAACTGGGAATCCGGTTTAATCACAGGCGGCTTCCTGGGTTTGAACTTGGGTTTTTCACTCCTAATGAAAACAACTGGTAAAAAAAAACGCTTCCAATTTGCTGCACATATAGATAAACATAACATGTGTTCTATCTTATTAACTGAGAAGCGAAAGGAGCTGCTGTGGTGTAATAATTAGCACAATGGTATTACTATCCAGCCTGGAAGAGTAGACCAAATAACCCCTAGAGCTTCCTCTCGTTGGGGATCCTTCCGCCGGCAGTGGCGTGAGCAAACCAGCAGCAATCACGCGATTCCACCGTTGCCTTTTAACTGAGAAATTACGGCAAAATGGACCACGAGGTTTGCACGTTCACTCGTTGCAATCAGTGCGTTGGTTGTTAAACTTCTAATGGAAACTGTTAACAGATTCCTGACCACTGCGACCGGTAACCTATTACAAAAACCATTACTGGGTTGTTATTTGACAATCCTAGTTCGAACCCAGGATATAAGCGGTGCTGCCTCAGCACTCTGACCCCTGAGCCACCGGGCCACTTCGAGAATATGGGAAATTAAGTCTTTAAAAAAATCCATCTTCCTCTGATGGCTTTGCGTGCATACATTGGTAACTGGGCCAAGACCATCAACTCGCTATGCTTGAGGACCAAGTTCAGCCCATAGGCTTTCACGGCCAAAATGATTCACAATACAGTAAAAAAGTAAAAGGGTAAAAAAAACACATTCCTTATTTTTTCACGCGGTAAATTACGTCGTCCGACACCCTCCTCTAGCCGACGGATCGATTCATCGGCACGTCCCGATATCCCGCTGCCGCTCAACGATGCACCGCGGGCTCGCTGCGCGGCTCCACCCTCGCGGTGCCGGATCGCGGTCGACCATCGCCGGCCGCAGCATTTCAAGATTTTGGACAGTGGACCAATTGATATAAATTATAAATGAGGCGTAACTTTCTTGGCACTCCGCCAACCGCCCGTCCTGTAAAGGCTTCCCCTTGGCTTTATTGGGAAGTTGGGATTGTGGTCTGGGATGTGTAGTAGTAGGCCTCGTAGTCGAATTTTCGTTTGCTTGGTACTGCCTGTATATGGTATTTAGTCCTGATATACAATTAATATACAGCATTATGGGATCAATATAAAACTAAACTTTTAAACTTGAAACTTTTTTTTTTACCAAGTAAGGCCCAATGAGCTACACAGCTCTTTTTCAGAAACGACCTGGCCACAAATGATAGCTCAACCAGGTGGCTTAGCATCATGCGGAAATGTATAGCAGCCAAATACTCTAAAAGCATGTTTCTCAAAGTGGAGAGAAAAACCGGACCTGGAGGAGAGAGACACACAAACTTCATATATACAGACATCAGGGTTGTGATTGAACCCACGACCTCCTGTATGTGCACGAATGACGCTATATAAAATGAAAGTATCATTCAAATTAAGAAGCGATTTCCGATCGATAAAAAAAAAAATATATGTTTGACGCGCGGCCCGGCGTTTCCAACCCGCAGGTGCGACGAGTACGTGTCGCAGCTCGACGAGATGCAGCGCCAGCTGAACGCTGCTGAGGACGAGAAGAAGACGCTCAACTCGCTGCTGCGCATGGCGATCCAGCAGAAGCTGGCGCTCACGCAGCGCCTCGAGGACCTGGAGATGACGGACGTGGACGGCTCGCGACGCGTCCGGGCCCGGCCCCGCGTCGCCGCCGGGTCGACCGCCGCGGTCGCCGCGTCCCACTCCAAAGTAAGTTCGTCGCCGGCGCCACCGCCGCCGCCGCCGCCGTCGTCGGCGCTGCTGCTGCTGCCGCCCCCGGGAGTCGCGCCGCTGCCCGGCGCCGGTCGGCTGGGATCGTCCGTCCGACATCCGGCGCCCGTGGCGTCGAGCTACGGCAGCCAGTGAAGGCGGCGTCGCGGGTCACGACGCGGGATGCGGCCGAGGTCGGCGGGGGCTGGTGGGGTGGTGGGGGGGGGGGAGTAACGGGAGTAACGGTCCGCGGGTCGAAAGTCGATTCTCACGCGCTGCGACGCGTGCGTTGAATCGCGCGCGTGAGAATCTTGATATCTTTCTGATTTGTGCGAGTAATAATGATATGCAAATTGCATGCTAATGTGGCCATTGAAGAGAACAAAACTGTACGAACGAGACAAAAGATAATAAGAAACGAGACGAACGAAATGGTAAAAATTATAAAACAAAAATCATTAATTCTTGAATAGAATTATGACCCCTCCCCCCCCACACCCCCCGGTTGGTTGACATTTGCGGGGTGGAGAGATGAATCGTTACATGCCTGGTTAGTGGTGGGTAGTGACGCTGTAACTGAAGGTTTAGCCCTGTTATTTTGTTAAACGTCGAAGATGCCCGCGCCCTATTGGCCTGTACAAAATAAGAGCCGGCACTGTCACCTGAGTCGCCGAAATGGAGCGAGTGTACAAAGCGACTGGTACCGTGAGCGCGGTGAAATGCCAACTTACTGAGGCTTTTGTTGGTTTTCTCACATCGATTTAAATTGGTGGCCACAGCACAAAAGCTGCCCCAAACTTGCAACTGTGCAGTTGTGAGCACAAGTAACCGGTTCTAAATGATAATTGATAACATTTATGCGACCATCAATGTTATCGTCGGTAATGCAACTGACGCGTTGCTGGTCGCGTTAAGAACCACAATAATGATAACTGTGGTATTAACAGTCGCAATCGTAAATTAACACATACGGTACCGTTGCTTCGTTCGTAACTTTATCAGCCACACTGGCAGCCGCAGCGAGCGCTCGCAGTACCAGGTGCGAATGCTTTGCGTGTTGTAGCTCTTAGCTTCTAACGGAATGGCTTCTCGTCAACCCGTCTCTCGAGTGTTGTTAGACGTTGCGCGGACCAGCTTTTCCCCCGCGCATGCACGTTGGCATCCGTACCAGGTGGCCTCGTAGTAGTAAGTAAAAAAAAGAAGAAGCATTTGCTCGCTTTTGGAATGAACCTTGGCAGAAGGCCAACACCCGCATGCTGTGCATTGCTGCTCATATCGCGATGCCCTGTTCTGCATCGGAGTTCTGCGCAATGGGCGGGGGCATCTTGTCTCATCCGGTAAAGACGGGCGCTGAAGCCGCAGGGCGGGCGGGCGAGCGCGGTTCGAGCGCGGCGCAAGCGAAGGAAACACTTAAAACAAGCCGCGTGCATTTGCATGCAACGAACTCCCTGGGTGGTTTCGCGCACGTCCGCAGCAATTTGAGGCGTAAACTGACGCTCCCTAGAAGGCTCTCCCTTTCAAAAGGGAACCGTTCGGTGCTTAATGTGATTTGAGATCACGGTGGTACATCAAATGGTCGTTTAGATTAAACTGCCGTTTCCCCCCCCCCCCCCCCCCCCCCGTTTCAAAGAGGGCCCGGATAAACTTGGCCCCCGGAGCAGGCAATCGAGGCCCCGCTGAGGTTAACCAAGGAGCCGAGTCTCCGCACGTGGGTTTTGCTGCATGCGTTCGTTCGCCACGCATTTCCGGCGCGGGGTGGCGTGATTGCGTGCGTGCGTGCGTGCACCCGCAGTGCCAGTCGCACTCGGGGTTGGCATGTCGCGCAAGGACTGGGGATGGCATTCGCGTAACCGCCGCATCATCAGTGCTTTACTGGCTGTGCATGACTGCATGGCTGGGAGGCCGTTACTCGAATTTGTTTGGGCCATCTAAGAGGGGAGACGGTTTCTGCGTAGGGCTTCGTACTCGCGCTGCGTCCACCTCTGCTGTGCGTTTTCGGGTGGTGCCGCGCTTCTTTTGCCGGCGCGATGTCCGACGTTTCGTGCCACGCGCGTGCCAGGGAGCTTCTTCGGGAAGCTGTTTCGGAAAGCTCCCAGGCACGAGGAGTGAAATGTCAGACATCGTGCTGAAACATCCACGCGGTACAGCCCGAACACACAATCGGAGAACATGACGACAAAGGCTTTAAGTGATGCCTGTGAAATACATCGAGGCCACGTATGACGTCACAGGCACGTGGGTATATTTACAGTGTTCATTGGAAATGATGTCCCGTAGCGCAGACCAGCTTATGCGGCTTCTTAATTCGGTGTGTTTAAATATGCAATAGTGTTCATTGTCTTAGTACATCGGATAATGACGCAAACAAAACGCGTCAAAAAGTAAGTGCTTAAAATGAGGAATATAAAAAAAAAATTTGCAACAAATTTTTACTCATTTGACCTCTCACATCAAATTATTTTTATACGGGCAAAAATAATCAAGCAATCGCATTCATCGACGTTTAGTGACGACGAAACCTCGAGAATCATTTTGCGATCTGTCAGTGTTGAGATTTTTAACAACTTGAGAGACTTTCTATATTTTTACATTGAAATTTTTTTATCGCGAATATGTGCCGTTGACATTTTATACCAGATTTCCTTTTCCTGAAGGCCCGCCCCTTTTTCCCAGACCACAGCGAGTGTGGCTGGGCGTCGCTCGCACAGCCAGCCTCCAATTACCCACACTGCAGCGCTCTCCTTTCTGCCTGGAGAGAGAAACGCCAGCGAAAGGCATCGGGTGCAAGTCCTGAAATTAATTCATTACTTTGGGACAAATGCACTTCGGGACTTGCACTTGCTCACCGGCGCTGTCTTATCCTAATCAATGAGCGTGCGTGACGGTCGTCTGACCTCATAAGGCTTCGGTCACGACTGCCGATCGTCGCTTGGAAATCTTCAGCCTCTTCTGCCTCTCCCTCCCTCCCTCCCTCCCGCTGTGCTGCATTGCACGCCCCGTGGCTTTCAGCGCCAGCTTTTTAATCTCTTGTCGTGGCGCCCCTAACCTGACGCGCTGTCTTGTCTGTCCACAATGTCTCTCCTTGACGGCAGTTTCTTGCCGTGCGCCACCACTCCATGCTGGCTCTCTCCTCCAGCCACTCCTCCCACGGAGGCGCTCTTGGCGTCGCTCGCGAGAGGTAACTCCGCTAACCTCCCCGACGCCCGTCGCTTCTCCTTCCGGCTTTCCCCCCCCCCCCCCCCGCCCTCTCCCCGCTAAGTCCCCGAGCTATCGGCTTCCACGTGCGGCTCGGCCGCCCCGGTCGCGATAACGATGCCGCTGTGCGATCCATGGTTCCCACACGGTTGCATCGACGCGAACGAAAACGAGCTTGCGGGCTTGAGCCGCGGACGAGCGTCGGTACCGTGCGCCGACCGGAAAGTGGAGCACGCCGATCGCGACGACTCGATCCCTGCAGGCCGGGCAGCAGGGTTCAGCGCACCAGGGTTCGTGTCCGGCTCGTTGGGTCCTTGCGCCGAATCGCAGCACCGAGCACGATTGCAGCCATTGGTGGCAGCGACACCAGGCAGCGCTCGTTCACTGTCTCGCAGCGGTGGAGGTGAGCCGATGGCTCAGAGAGCGGAGCGTTAAGCCCACACAGCTTAGAGCCCGGGTTCGAATCCGGGCAGCTTTTCCTGATTAAACTGAGCTCGCCAGGGTAGTGAGTTGATGGTCTCGGGCCGGTCGACAATGACAGCATTTGGCTAAATTCCAGCTCTGAGAGTTAAAAAAAAAGATCGCGTTAAGTGTCGTGCGACATCTCTTGGCAGAGTGAGTGGATTAAATGCGTCTCTTACGGTATAAAGGATTTACAAAAAAGGCCACTTGAAGGGTTATTTGGGGAGTAGTCCTGTGAAAGATCTCTTCCGCAGGTCAATCTCCGAGACACGGGGGTACGTTGCAAAAAATGATCCAGCGCCTTATTCGTCTCTCGCGCTACGACGCCGATAGCGCGCTTGTAATAAATGATTTCAAACGACCAAAAAACGTCGAGCCGGCATTGCTGACTTGGGTGTGGGGGCGGGGGGGTACTCGAGTAAGCCAACGAAGTGCACACAGCCGTAACGCAGTGAGCTGCCAGAATTTGGCCTTTCCTGCTGCGAGTCTCCTGGGCGACTTCACAATCGGGCACCCGGCAGCAGCAGGCGGCACCACTCGCAAAGGCACGCGGTGTCAGGGCAGCGTTGGGTGTAAGATAAGCCCCTGGCGCACGCGCGATTAAAAAAAAAGGCTAAATGAAAGGTCACGTTTCTATTGCCCATGGCACAGTAGGAATTGCAAAGCGGCTTTAAGATGAACACTGGATATTTTTTTTGTACGCGCACAGCTCCCCCTTGAGGCTGTGCACAGCCAGACCCTGGGCTTGAGGATCACCAGTGGTTCCAAATTCTCAGTGACTTCTTGTTCTCGGGAATAGCATCTGTTACCACTTGAGTCCACGAAAAGCCAGAGCTGAAGTTACTCAAAGACTCGGTTGCTGCTGATGGGACGCGGCGCGCAGTTACGTTGGCCGCCGAGACGGCAAACGGAGTGATGCGAGGAACATTTATTGGAGGACGCTTTTAAATATTTCGGAGGCCTTTGTGCAGCTGAGCTTTGCGCCGCACGTCTACAGAGAAAGCCATGACAACACATCGCATGGCAATTTGGCAGCGTTTTTTATTCCTCAACAAGAACATCTTCGACCGTAACTATATTGCCTCCTGTCTTGCCTGAACTCTTTCATTCACTTCCGTATCCCTCAATATTGCCATTATTAAAACAGGGGCCATGAGCTGCATGAGATTCTCTTTTTCTTTATTCATGAAATGGCAGTTTCACATTTCTTATCGGCCTCATAGTCACTTCAAGCGCTACAAAGTCCGTCCGACACTCTGTCCGTTTAAAGTGAATCTGTGTGGGGTTTTTTTCCAAAACACACGCACACGTTCACTGAACCTAAAGTTCACTCCAATGGAACATTAATTAGGTGGTAATCCTGCCGTATATTCGGCCGTAAAGTGTGCGGCCAATATAACGGTCTCAAATCGTCACTGGAGAACCTGCGCAGTTTTCAAATCTCAGACCCATTTAGTTGGGCCTCCTCCGAGCCGTCCTCGTAGCATCACCCCTTAACCCCCCCACCGGATGCAGAAAAACGTTGCTGGCGCTGCATGTGTCACGCGCGTTTCACGTGGGACCAGAAACGTGCGGCCGTTATCGCGTGCACGCGTGTGTTGTTCAGTGTTTAGCCGCGATCCTCGTGCCAAAAAGTAGTCTCGATTTGCAAGCTGTCCGACGCACGGTGAATCGTCTCCGGAGGATAATGGTCTATCGTCCGGAGGCCGAAAAACTTTGTATTCCCGGGCGTTGGGTGAATTCCTCCCGAGGAAAGGTGTTGTGATGTGCGAGTAGTTGACGTTGAATAGCGTGGTCGGGCTGCCTTCGCGAGACGGACCCGATTCTTCCGTGTTGTTTTTACTTTCTCGTTTAGTTCGTTTTCGGTGGCTAATATTGTGACAGCTGTATAATCCCCTGCTTGGCTTAGGAAAAAAAAAAGGAAGAAAAATTGTTAAATGGTGCTTTACGAGATGTACCGTCGTCGGTGAATTGAATTGTCGTCGGTAACTAAATAACCCTCTTGGTTGTGAGTGTCGAGGTCAATTCGCGTAACAGATGAGACACCTAAACAAAAGGCAAGTCAGTATTCCGCCGTGCTTTCTCTTCCCCGTTATGGGAAGTTTTGGACAAGTGAAGTCAATAACGTTGATTTAAAAAATAAAGTGCCTCTTCGATGCCTTCAGTGGAAATTTAAAAAAACACAGTCGGTCACCGACCATGAAACCACGTAAACGTCCCAATTACGTCTTTTGTGATCTGTGCCGCGACCGACGTATTTTTTTAATTTTAATTCCTAGTCAAATTCCAGCTGTGTCTACCGGAGAATATTCGCTGTTTTAAGCGTGATGTGGCCTGGGGTGAAACGATTGTTGGACTTTTTCAACAAGGGACCTTGACACAGCATTCGATACCAAGAGGGTTGAAAGTGCATGTAGTACATGCTAAGGCACTCCCTAATGGTGCGATATACGTATGAACCTTGTGCTGAAATGTTCTGTGCCTGCTGACAGTAATAAACTAACGGGGCATGGCTTGGTAGCAGCTTGGCATACGCACACCTTGAGGGCAGCGCGAGTTGCCCGCGGTAGATTCATCATCATTCAGGACTAACGCTGACTTGCAATGCATGGCTGTTGATTTCACTTTGAACAAAAACAAAACTAAATAAGCACATTGCTAATCGTGGCTAGCAGCCCATTCAGGAACTCCAGTCGCTGGCATGAGCAATTCCCCCCGAAATACGCTCGTCTAATTAACAAGCACTAACCGTAACAAACGGCGAATGAGAACTAACCGCATTAAAAAAAACGCAGCGCTGACCCGCACGCCATCCTGGCTCTTCAGCTGTTGCGCGCACGACGTTTTTTTTTTGCCCGAGCGTAAGTGCCGGTGGGGAGGATGCCCTGACGCTCGCGTCTGACGGCCGTAACTGTTCTCCCTCGTGTCGACAGCGCTAGCTCGTCCCGCCAAGTCAAGACGCGCTTGGGTCACGCGCCGCCGGAGCCGTCGCCGCTCGGCGCAACAAACTCGGGCCTAGCCAGGCCTCCGCCGTCGCTCTCCGGGACTCACTCGGAGCCTCGCACCAGGCCCTAGGCCTTGCGCGTAAACCGAGGGCTTGGGTCTTCGATTGTGCAACCGTAGGCGACACGACAACAGAGTGGTCCGCGCCAGGCGGGTCGCCGGCGTTCATGTGCGCGGTGTTTTAATTAATTACGATTTTGACTTGCGTTTATTCGGGAACCCAAGGTCCCGCCATAAGGTTCAAATGTATACAGCATCCAAATATGACTGTACCGAGTCTTCCATCCGTTTAAAAAGGCAAGAGCCCTCGCTCTGCCTCCACTTCAGCAAACGTTGAAATTTTCCCACGACGAGAAGACGTCATAGAGACATTGTGCTGCGTTTACATGATTAGCAGCTTTAGAGGTGGTATTGATAAATTCAGGTTATTTTCTCTTTACATTTAGAAATACGGAAAAAAATTCTTACTTGGTCTACTCAGTCAAAAGTAGACATTAACAATTACAGTGAGCACATCGATGATCTAGGATTCTTAACATAACGCTTGTATTTGTTACTACAATTTTTAACACTCGTTAAATTAAATATCAGGGGACAGTTAATACAGAGACTCGTGTATGTATTATGCGCAATAACAATTTATTAAGTACATTATTACTGTCGTTTTTGGCCAGTTAGAAGCCAAATATTATTGGTCACAAAATAATCTTGGTTTTAGATATTCAGGACCATCAATGCCTATTGTTAATGCAGGAGGCACTTCAGCATATTAATTGAACACAAGATGAAAGTCTCACAAACTCTAATAACCGGATGTTATTTCATCGACAGGATTATAACGCTATCAACCAAAGACTAACGGCAACGGAGGAAACTTTGAGTCGAGAAAGAAAACCCAGATTTCCAAATTCGATTTAAATCGGGACTCACGCAAGGCCTCACCGGCTTTTCATGAACTTGCAAATAGTTGTATTTTATTCCATTTTCGGTCAAACGCCGGTTTGGTTGGAACCTCTGAACAGACAGAGAGAGCGGTGAAAACAGCCATGCACTCTCGGCCAGCAATTTACCCGCTAAAAATGTATGTTCGGTTTCCGTCCGAAACAAACGCTCCCCTCAGGTGTCCGGCTTACATCCTCCATGCCACCTTGAGCTGCGTCTATTTCGATTTTTTGATCCCCCCCCCCCCCGCTGTTGACGTTTTACCCGATGTTGTGTTATTGTTTGTTTGTCCCGCCCGCCTTTGCATTGCCGCTTTGTCTTACGTTTAAAAACAACAACCGGCATTGTTTTCTCCCTCTTTACAGGTACCTTGGCATTGAATTAGGGTAGTCGTTCGTCTTGGCCGTAGCGACCCTTGCGTGAGTGTGCGGGGCGCGTGTCGTAGCGACGCGTGTTTAACAGGCGGTTACCCCCGTGACGTGAACACCGATTCGGGTTCGTCGCCCACTCTGTTTTCAAATTAAATCAAAACCCCTCGTTTTGTACGATCGTGATCCAGGATTGCACACCCGACGGCAAAAGTATTACCCGCGCGTTGTTTTCTACGTTGCGTTTGAGCAGTCATTTAATGCAGACTTTCACGTATTTTAAAGTGTTACGAAAAAAATATGCAAAGTTGCGCAGTTTCAGCATTCTTTGTATTGCGGTACATTTACGAGAAGTGATTTTTTTTTTAAAGATACGAACAAAAAAAAGAATACGGTTAGCGTGCGTTTTCAATTGCACAAAGAGAAAAAAACTAAACTTTTTCTATCGTGGGCAATGCATACCCTTCTGTTAAATTGGTTCCAAATTGGAATGTTTGAAGTGGCACTGCCCATCGCAGTGATCGTCAGATTTTACCTGCATGCAGAGTAACGAGACAGATAATTCTTACAACGTTTGAAACTTCGTTTTGCTTTGATACCAGTTGTGCCTTGTTTATATATTTCAATCACTTTAGCGGTCTTGCCACTTGCTATTTCTAAACAATTTGCACCTGCTCGCAGATGCGTACTCATTTTTGTTGTGGGTATTTTAAATATTTATTTTATTGTTTTATTATTACGGTTTTCTTTACCGACTTTTTAATGTCCTTAACGAAAGTAGACTACAGCTTACTGTAAAAAAAAAATAAACATTGTTTTCCTAAAAATCTCTTGCAAAACAGAGGCCTATGTTTTAGTTGAAATAACAGCTCGCAATTTGGTAAAGGCCAAACAGAAATTTGCAAAAAAAACAGGTATGCTGTTTGAAGCATAGTCCTTGGATATTAATAGCTGTTACAAATATGTTTTAAGTGTATGAATATGCGTAATTATGATGGCAAACTTGAACCCATCGTATTGCGCTTTAAGAAAGCTTAAAGCACAACAATGTTCCGTTTGACCTCCGTGGTGTTCGTTTGTGTTGCTGAAATGGAAAAAAAAAACGTCGAGCGTTTCACTCTCCCATCGCTGCTCGAGTACGACTTGGGCAGCAGCCGTTTTTTTTTAAATTTTCCAATCAAAATAAACTATCACCTTCACGCCATGCAAAGCAAAACTTTATTTAAACGTTACAAAAAATAAAGCGCAAAAAAATATCATATATCAAAAAGAATACGATTAACCAAACCGTTTTTGCGATATTTATTGTTATAAAAAAAAAAATAAGAAATACTACTACTTTTGTTTACAATTTTAAAAACGAAAACCTAAAAAAAGAAAAAAAATCCGATTTGGAAAAGTTGTTGGGAGTTTTATCACGGGATGGTGCTTCCATGAAAATCGTTGCCTCGTTGCTGGCACATCTCGGGACGATGAGCCTTTGCAGTGCACGCGCGCAACAGACCACCGTCACCCTCATAGGCTGTGCAATGCTATCACCAATGCTAGACAACGTGTGTGCGATTTGTTATGGCACGTAGATGCACATTGCTAGTAGGCGGCAAAGTCTTGAGCCCAGGGAAATGCACGGAAGGACCAAAAATACAATTACAATGCAATGGATGTGGAAATGCTTTATCTCTCTCTATTTTCATTTATTTACGAAAAATTATGGACGTTGACAAACCATAAATAATTCAACTTTATACAAACTAAAAGAGAGGAGTGATAAAAAAACTCACAGTGATCATCATTAATGCTGCTTTATAACAGACTGATTTTTTTTGGCAATGGCACTTTCATTCAAGCCGAGAGAGAGAGAGACGAGGCAAAGAGATGTATTGACTTATAGTTGATAGACTTATAGTTGGAGATCGCATTTTACACCGTGGGGCCCTGCTGTGAAAACTGGGAAATGTTTTAAGAAAGTTATTGTTCACATGTTGAGCAGTTTCCTACCAGTAGACACTTTGAGTGTCAAATGCACCATCAGGGCATCAAAACCGAATTGTATATTTCAAGCAAGAATTGTCAAATTTCCACATTAACCACTGTCATCGTGGAAATAACCAGTTGGCGGTGCAGTACCACCGATAGGTGTTGTGAACTGGCTAATGTGGGGGCGAAGTTTGACCGAGCTACAGATCCATTGCCATTTGACGGAACCGAAAAAAATCAACCTAACTTCACCACAAAATGTCAAAAGCTTTCCCAGTTTACCAGGTGCCCACTGCCACCAGCGGGTTGCTTTTGCCCCTCCACTGTCGAAGTAAACTATTCCTGCGTAAGTTATCGCCTCTGAAGCCTTCCGTGGATTTCGCTGGCTTTTTTTGCCAACGTGTGTGCTGTAACGACATAAGATAGAGAAATATTGTTGTAGCAAATTGTCTTGCATTGAAGTGTCCGTATATACACAGCATGCACAGTGTGTGGCGCGGTCGTGCCCTCCAACGGATGCGACGTACCCGTCATTGAATTGGTACAAACCAGTCCTGTTCTGGAATTGATTGGCTATTGCAAATAAACATTTAAACTTCACCGCCTGCTTCTGGCCGTTGTGTTCGCCGAGCGAGTCGTCACACCCTCAACCTAACCGCGTGTCTGTGTTTTTTTTCCCCCCGGAAAAGTGGCAATGTGAAGGTCACTTCTAAATTCAGGAGGAAACCAAACTTTGGTGCTTCCCACGTGAAGACATTTTTATCATCTTCATCAGCCAGGGTCTGTTCACTGCTGGATGAAGCCCCACCCCGAGATGTCGCCATCTCTCATGTCCACGTAATCGATGCAACGATCCATATAGCCCCTGCACATGAGCTGATTTCAATGCTACATCTCCACGTTGGTCTTCCTCTTTGGTGTTTTCCCTACTTTGGCTTCCACTCCATCATTAGTCTCAAACATCGGCAGTCATTCCTTCTCGTGACATGCTCAAGAATCGCCTTGTTCATTTTTTTAAATGGTCGATTGAAACTTGTCTATTCTGCATATATTTTTTGATCCGTGTGTTGGTCATTCTCTCTCAAAGTGAAATTCCAAGCATGTAAACCTCTACGTGCTACTTTGCAGATTTTTCTACTTTTGTTCAAATTTCCTTGTCAGTTTCGTTGTGTCTAATTCACGTCATTGCATGCAATCTACATTGATTTAATAACTTCTTAAAGCACGGATTAAAGACGAATCGTCATTATGTACAGCCCTTTGTCAATCCACTGCTGGACGATGGTCTCCCCGCGACATGTCGGCCATCAGGTTTTATTGGAACATACTTCACCACTCTGCTCGGTGCAAGTCGCTGGGATGGGGCGATGCTCAGGATCGGTTCAGATATCACTCGCCACTCATGATAGCCCTGACTGGCAATCAAACTCAGGCCATTGGGTGCATCGCACGCAGTACACTCACCAAATTCACGGGGAGGAATGAATCATTGCATCCTAACTGAAAACAGATGTTGGGTTGCTATTTTTTTTTTTACACTAAAACCTCTTCGGCTCCCTTCAGAGGTGAATTGAGATGGGGAGCGGGGGGGACAGTCCTAAAATGTCAAGGTGTTTAAATGTGGGCTCTAGAATCATAAAGAAAAATCGCTCAGTGTATTGTCTCTGGTAAGTATTAAATAAAACATACATTTTTGGGGTCTCGAGGAGCAAATGGGGGCTGATGATTGCCTCCGCCATGCCTTCATCCGCCGCTGTCTCCTATTTGCTATGGAACAATTTTTTCACCAAAGTATCGAAAGCAATTGCAGCTGCGCACGTGTGCGCGCGAGGTGGCTTCCTACAAAAAAAACACATGATGCAGTGCCATGAACAAATCCAGATCTGGGCACCCCACTGCTCTGACCTGTTGGCCACCGAGCTATCGGTGGTGGAAGTCGTCAGCGGGGACGCGACCGGCTCGAGATGCGTCGGATTCCACCGCGTGCGGCACGGCGATAGCTCCAGACACCGACCGAAATAGCCACGCTAGGAGTGCCCATGGCCGAGTCCTGTTCAGGATTATCCCGTTGCTTCGATGGATGAGTGTTCAGCTATTTGTTGGCTTTGAACTTTGGCCTCTATTTTTTGTTTTGCTTCTAAAGTGGGAGATGAGTCCGATCCTGGACTCACAAATGTGGCAGCGTATCTGGCGAGTGTAGTAGCCGTTGAAGGGCTGGAAGGTTTAAAGGACCAGCCTTGCGGCGACACACTATCTGCAGAGAGCTCACACGCGCCACTCAACATTGGGCACGGCGTCGTGTGGGGAGCACCCGGCTCAGTAGAGGCGTCTCAGTGAGTGGCTTTGGCTTCAGCAAAGAACTGCAACACCACTTATTTCGTATTGTGGCTTTAGTCGATCTAGAAACTTGCCAGAGGGGTGGGGGGGGGTGGTGGCAATCCTGAAATCTCATTTTTGTTTTAATGGAGCCCTACATTAATAGTAATGAAACATATAGAATGCATTTTCTCTGATAAATATCGATAAAATACCAGTTTTGGGATGCAGTATCTCAAGCATCGATCCTGAAGTCGTCCACGTCGCCCACCAACCTGGACATCAACTCCCACCACCGATCGTCGCGCTGCATCGTGGAGCGACGCTCGCTCCACAGCGGGGAACCGGAACGCCGGAACGCACGAAGCCCGCGCTTCAAGCCACGCTGGGATCCCATGGTGGCCATCTGTGCCCCAAAGGGCCTTGCCCGGCTGTCGGCAAGAGAGAGTGGGCCCACGTCGTGTCGCCTAATTGCTGCTATCAGCTAACGCGTTTCCATACTCTTTGGTTCTATTCGGTAAAGTCACGTAAAAGTATAAAACAACAAAAATTTAAAATTCACGACGATTTTTTACATTTTATTTTTGCTGTTTTATACTTTTCGGTGACTTTACCGAATAGAACCAAAGAGTATGGATCCTTGCAGTCACGAAAGCTTCAAATCTAGAACGTGTTTCCAGTTCGATTATCGGAATAAGTGCCGATTTTACTGGTAGGAACGAAGTTGTAAACTGAGTGTACCAGCCTGCAATAGATTAGTGTCCGTCCGTCCGTCCCCTTTCAATACTTTAACGAAGTGAAATCTCGTGCTGTTGGGTGTAAAATCAGCAATAGACAGCGCAGAGACTTGTCCTACCAGCCAACCCTGCAGGGACCTGTTAATGAGGGGTGCAGCGGTGGTCGTAAAGGTTGGCGATCAGCACTCTTTAAACTGGCGATCCCGCAGGTGTTCATCCAGCAGGAGAGATAGAGGGATGTGAATATTTTGTTTTTAATCGGATGAAGGTTATTTTGAAAATCGACACGACGGATAAACAACGTCGTATAGGTCTTCCCCCAGAAAAAAATAAATAAACCGTATTCCGCTCGCGAACGGGATGGTAATGTGAACGTACATTCACGTTCAAACAAATGCCCTTTGGACGCAGTGAATTAACTTCGGATAGAAACATGCTACCCGTGACAGATTCTATTCGATCACAGTTATAATCTGGACGCTGCCGCTGTGAAATCAATGCTTACGACGCGGTACTTTAGCGTCAGTCGTGGGTTGATACAAGAGAATGCAATTCTGTTAGTGGAAAATGTGTAAGTGGTACGTTGAATACAAATAATGTTTACGTTGTGATTCAAGGACGTTTATAATGAATATGTCATATTATTGGAAACAGTATGGAAAACGGCTTTGGGTGTTGCTGTTGTTGTGTGTGTGTGTGTTTAATCATGGTTCCTTAGCACAGGGCCCAAAGGCCCGCATCGCCAAGCAGCCAGGAACAAAATAGCACCGTTGAAGGTGTAACGGATACGCGTTAATTGCATTTCTTTCATTGCACAGCGTTTGTAAGAACTGAGGAAGACGAGACAGAAAAGAGGGAATTCCAAAGTCGCGCAGTGCGACGGGTACCGTCAGCTGATGCACAATGAGAATTCAAACAGAAAGTGAGATTTGGATCATTCAAATAGAAAGTGAGATACTCTCTGGTTCTTTCGGTAAAGTCACGTAGATAGAAAAAATATAATTAAAGAACACAACGTTTCGGTCGCAACACAAGCGTCCGATGACGCACGAACACGCACGCTCGCAGTATAAACTCAATCTGCCCTCCCCTGACATGAAAGAAGACGTTATGAATTTGTTTTTGGGCTGCCAAAACTTGAAACGTAATACTCGATATTCATTTTAAATAACATCAGTCGAGCCACTTTTTCCTGTTGTGGCAATTGTCTTTGAAAGGTTATTGCCACCGGCTCAGGTTTCAATTGCAGGGGCGAGACAAGGGCTGGCTGGCTCTCACAAACACACAGTGGGCTATTGTTATGCCAGCCTCCGCTGAGCACAACTGAAGCACGGCGAGAGTGAAACGTTATGCAAAGAAATTGCCAGGCATGGGAGATGAAACAATAAGGCAAGATTCTAAACTAGAATTTTTATTTTATTTTACGAGGTAAGGCCCACTGACTTATTTTTCAGAAGTGGCCTGACCACGAATGATAGCTCAATCAAGTTGGCTTATCATGTGGAAATGTATAGTAGCAAAATACTCTGAACGCTGGTTTCTAAATGTGGAGGGGAAAAATCGGAGGACCCGAAGAAAGGTTCACGCGACCACGGGGAGAGAGGGAGAGACGTGCAAACTCCAAATTTCCAGCAGGCGTCGACAGGGTCGGGATCAAACCCACGACCTTAAATTCTACCCCCCCCTCCAGCCTCTGGCCACCCAGTGGTATAAAATGGGTTCACCACGCCCAGTAAATCGGCAGGTCGCGTGCAAGTTGGGTAGGGTTGCGGTACTCACACTCATTCCAAGACTATCTGGCAAGTGTGTACTGTAAGACGAGGTGAAACGTATCCTCTAGAGCTCCGTCTAGTGGAAGTCTATCTACCAGCAGTGCTACGAGTAAGATAATTCAGGGCTGCCCCTTTACCTTTACAAGGCATTCGAGAATGTTAAATTTTCTAAAAATATCTTTTTTATTTAATTGCCAGTCTTGCTAAAAATTGTTATACAGTTCTGGGCCATTTGTATTGGCAATCTGTGTGGTAGCAATTTATTTGGTGGTGTTGGAAGTTTTTCTGAAAGAATGAAGTGTCCTCCGGTTGGACTAAACGGACACGAGAAACATACAATTTATTGGACGTAGCGATACGTAGCTGGTTGCCTTGTTCAACAAAGTCGAGTCCTTTAAATGCACGGGACGTGTGCGTGTTGCACTTCTTTCGCACCCCTACGTAGCCAACCGTGCTCATCGAAGGTGCGGTAACAACAAGCCACCAAGAGAAGCAAAGCAGTCAACAAAGTATCTGTTTTTTTAAAGCGTGTAGTTTTGTAGGTAACTACAGCTGCCTTCTCATTTGCAGTAAATAACAACAATAATAATCATAAATTTTGATTTAAAGCTTTCGTGACTGCAGTAATTCATATTCTTAGCTCTTTCGGTAAAATATATTTTATTATTTTATTGTTTCCCTTCAACGTGACTTTACCGAAAGAGCTAAGAATAATAATAATCATACGTGGGCACGCGAGGGAGACCGTTTGATTAAATGCCACTCTCTCACACGC